AAACACATAGAATTAGACCCTATGTACACCCCACTGCAAAGAAAAACCGAAATGAGGTAATCAGCTCCAACGGACCCCAGAGTTTAAATAACAAGCGGGAAAATACAACAACGCTTCATCGGAGGCAGCACTGATGATGTTACCCGGCAGGATAATGAAACGTCTGCGAACCAACGAACCAGCTCGGCGAGCGAACCAACCACAGCATCCACAACCTGAGCTACAAATCTACTCAAGAACCTTAGACACCTATAGGTGCAATACTACTCAAAGTGGCCTGGAAATTGGAAACCTACGCCAAACGACAGAGCGTCAACCGCGAGCAACCCTACTTCCTACACGGATGCCTCAGGAACAAGGTATTACTACGCAGTGTGAGATACAAACCTCCCATCAACAACCCACAGGCACATAGGTCAACAGAACACAATGGCCGCAGAATGGCGAAGATAATGATTAACGACGCCCACAACCAGCTCCACAGATATGACAGGGAAGTTACGTGCCAAAAATCCCTATACCTAGACGCAACCAACCTACAGTGGACAACAGACTTAGAATGAGCCATTAACATCAGTCAACCAAAAACCAAACCAAAAAAAGACCAATCCTACAGGAAAAACTAGCCAAACTAACCCACCAAAATGACAGCCAAAGATCAGACCTTTGGATAAGAAACCTATCTAACAGAAAACTAACAGACACAGAGAAAGCTGTACTAACATGTGGACTCAATTACAACCACAGAGACGCTAACAAGACAGAATTCCTGGTCACACTAGAATCCACACTGAAGACCAACGGCATCAATGAGGAAACACAACAAGCCATAAGACAGACAGTGGTCCCAACACTGACCAAAGGAACAAACTTAACACTCTCAACACAACAGAAAAGAAGGCCCTAGAAGGACTGAAGAAAGCCAAAAACATCATAATCCTACTAGCGGACAAAGGGCGCACGACAGTAATACTTAACAAATGAGACTACTTCACTAAAGCACAGATGCTACCAACAGACACAAATACATACTGACAAGTGGAAACAGACCCAACACCACAACTGGGAAATAAAAGCAGCTACACACCTAAAGAGATTCAAACAGACTGGACAAATCAACAAAGTAGGCTACCTAACAATGAAACCTGAAGGGACAAACACCCCCGGATTCTACGGCCTCCCAAAGGTACACAACTCGAAATTATCCCTCAGACCCATAGTCTCTCCCAGTCACACCAACACACAAGTTAGCCAAGGGGTTACAATGAAGACTAAAGCACCTCGTCAACAACTCAACCCACTGAACCTACTGGAGTTCCTCTAAACTCTCAAAGACATAAGAACAAATGACGACGAGACCATGGTGTCCTTTGACGTTATCGCCCTATTCACATCGCTCGACATACCACTGGAAGAGAAACACTAGCAACACGACTGAAGGAACCAGACCCTAGTAACACTATCTCCACAGACAACATGCTGAAATTACTGAATCTATGCTGAATCTATGCCTCAAGACCCACTTTACCTTTAATGGCCAGATCTACGAACAAATCAACAGGACACCTATGGGATCATCCATCTCTGGACTAATAGCATTCACACTATTACTCACTCATCTCCATACACACGGACAAGGAGAACAACCAGTTCAATTGGGACAACTTCAGGATCCTAGGACAAGCCAAACAGAGACCAGCATGGGAATTTCTACAGGCCTGGTTCTCCACCAAGAAGGCCATCAATAAACACATAGAATTAGACCCTATATACACACCACTGCAAAGAAAAACCGGAAATGAGGTAATCAACGGACCCCAGAGTTTAAATATCAGGCGGGAAAACACAACAACGCTTCATCGGAGGCTGCACTGATGACGTTACCCAGCAGGTTAATGAAACGTCTGCAAACTAATGAACCAGCTCGGCAAGCAAACCAACCACAGCATGTTGAAGTGGTTTAATCTCAGGGAAGAAGGTGAAAAAGAATAAGTGTATGAAGTAGTAAGAGTAGCAGAGATGAGAGTGAAACTATGAGGCAGAAGGAGAATTTGAAAGTTCACAAAGTTCACAATTTTATTGCAGTTCTAGAATTCAATTAGCCAGTTGGAAATACGGAGAGTTAGATGTGGCGTTATTGCATTTGCAGGAAGAACAATGAAAGATCTAGTAAGGTTACAAATCTTCTTGTTTTCCTAAGTAATGACACACCTGGATATAAGATGTTAGGCAAGACATGACGCAAAAGTAGGAAACTCAATGCCAATAAAGTAACATCCTCATTGGTTGAGCCCAGACAGACAAGCTCAATAGTATATAGATATTCAATGTATGTTGTACTTGAACGAATCCAGAGAAGGCAGCTGGAGTTCACCAGTGGTGTTAGTTCCTAAACTGAATGGATCCACTCAATTCTGCATTGACTACAGAAAAGTAAATGCAGTAACAAAAACAGATTTCTATCTAATTCCTTGATTAGAAGATTACATCGACAGGTTGGCAAGATATAATTTTTTTTCTTTCCGTTCAAGGGGTACCAACCGTGACAAATTTCAAAACTTCACAAGTGTCCAACTGCCTATTCCTGCATTAATTATTAGTATCATTAATAGATTACCACCTAAAAAATATAAAGTGTGTATGTGATGAAATACTCTCAATTGTCTAATGAATATAGCTCGAACAAAATCAAGATAATAGACACCATCCAGGAAAAAGTAGCCTGTGTATTTGGCACCACATCTACCAGCTAAAATATTCATTTTGTCCAGTATTGGTGCACCATGGCTGCAGTGGTGAATGGCATCCCTTGAGCAGACTAAGCCCCCCTTTCCTCTCTGCCTTTTTTAAAAGAAAATTAAAAACAGCAAGCAGCCTTCGTGACTATCTTCAGCCAGAAGTGCCAAGTGGATGATCCTCCTCCTGAGGTCTCCAGCATCCCAGAAGTGAGGCATCAGCCTATTTTATTCACTCTGTCGGAGTCAAGGAGTGGCTGGAGGTACTGGATATTGCGAAGGTTATGTGCCCTGCCAACATTCCAGCAATAGTACTGAAGGTGTGCTGCAGAACCTGTCATGCTACTTGCCAAACTGTTCCGGTGCAATAATAACACTGGCATCCAAGTGCCAATGTAAAAAATTGTCCAGGTGTATCCCGACCACAAAAAAGGATATATTCAACGAGGCATTTGCCACTTTAATAGTCCACTCTTGATCAACAGCTAAATGTCAACAATGCTAGCAAGTGGCGCTTGCAGAGGAACAACCTGCTCGCTGATGTTGATTCTGCCATGAACTCGAGATGCCTGAACTCATTTTACCTTGGTCCAAAAATGGAGAAAAGATCTGAATTCCAGAAGTGAGAAGAATGTGACAGCCCTCGACAACAAGGCAGCATTTGACTGAATACGGTATCATGGAACTCTAGCAAAACTGGAGTCAATGGGAATCAGGGTAATATTTTACACTGATTGGCTCATATCCAAACAGTGAAAGGTGGTTTTGATTGTTGGTAATCAAGCATTTCAGTCTCAGGACATCTCTGCCTGAGTTCCTCAGGGTAGTGTCTTCGGGCCAACCATCTTCAGCTGCTTTTCAGTGACATTCCATCCATTGGAGGATCAAAAGTGGGATGTTTGCTGATGATTATATAATGCTGAGTACAATTCATGATTCCTCAGACATTGAAGGAGCCTGCATCTACATGCAGCAAGGCCAGGACAACATCCAGGCTTGGGATAATGAGTGTTAAGTAATATTTACAGCACACAAGTGTCAGGCAAAGATCATCTCAAAGCAGAGAGAATCCAACCATCACCCCTTGACATTCAATAGCTTTACCTTAGTTGAATTCCACCAACCATCAACATTGAGGGGGGTTACAATTGATTATATTTCAGATTCACAGCATTGTTCTCAACATTTGTTCATGGAGGATTCCTATGATGACTTCAGGAAACCTGGCACTAGTCCACTGCTGAGCCAATCATTTCCAGAACATGGCAGAAGCTTTAAAAGAAGTTTTAATTAAATGGAAATGTGGTTCAAGATAGAATAATAATGCTTTCTTAATAGAGTACAGGAAACATATCTGGAGTATGCTTTTACCTTTGATTTTTCACAACCTTAAGAACCTATTGAGAAACTGGTAAGGTGTAACACAGGCTGATTTGATATTGATCATTATGCTGTTGCTGAAGAAATTTTTTACATCAATGTATTTGGTAAAAGTAATCAACAGCTATGGTACAAGACAGCAACAGCAATTTGTTTTCTGTTTCTTCCAGTAACTTTTTACATTTTGCTTTTTGAAACAAATTTCATCTTCCCTTCTGCAAGAGTCTGAGAAGACATAACCAACTCCCAGAAACAATCCTCCAACTTCATTACACCCATCAGAAATTTATAATGAGCAATTAGATAAAAGTCAAAGCTTCAGTGCATGACTGACTTCTTGGCTGCAATAGATATATGTTATTCTTAGGTCCTGGGGCCAAATGCCCTTATGGTCTTCCATATCCCTTTTTGGCCCTCTTGATGAGGTCCATTTTCTATGGCCACATTATGCCACATGTAATAGTGTCCCGATTTTGGCCACTAGCTCTGTGGAATGCTGTATGGGTGGATCATTTGATCTGTGCAAGTATCTGAAGCATTATTAGACTTCCCAAATATTTTCTCCACGAGGCTCCTCGTTTGTGCATACGTGTTTCTGAATCTGTCCTCTGCTGATAATATGGAGTTTATGCATCAGGCATGGCTGTACAATATAACTTGCATTCATGAGCAATTACCGATCTTCTTTCCTCTAGTCTCTGTAGAATTGTTGAAGTGTTGAATTGCCTTAGAATAAAATAATTATATACATTCCCAGAAAGTGTGCACTGACATGCATAACTTTCTAACAGTGGAAATAAACTATTTGCATATTCCCGGAATTATATTTTTTTCAGGTTTAGATAGTCAAGGAATTCTTGACAGTGTGCAGACATACAAGCTTACAATCAATGATGCTCCTTGACTTGAGAAAACAATCCATGAGGGACAACTGTGCTCCTTTTCGTAGTGATCATAGTTTGTTGTGCTGAGTATGTTGGTGGTCTGTGGAAAATCAAAGCTTCAGTTATACTCTATTTGCAGCAATGAATGCTAATGTAATTGAATCCTTTGATATTTGCTGAAGGATAATGTTAAAAGTCATGACATTCACTCCTAGCAGGACCAGAAACCACCCTAAAAACAAGAGTTCCTCTGATGATCCTCAGTCTCTTAATGTATTGCTTCCTCTCAATTTCAATGGATTCAATATCCACAACAATTGTAACTGGTCCATCCACTGGACAGTTTCTTCTTGTTATTTGCATACTATTTATAATCTGTGTTCCTGTACTACCCACTTCTGATTCTGACTTCATTATATACAGTAATTACTGGCAATAGTTGTGGTAGGATGAACATTACACAGCACTGTTCAACTGTCAGGGCATTCATGAAATATTTCTTTCTTTTATTTACTAATTTGTGAACCTCATCTTTTATGATAAGCAAAATGCACAACCTGGATTTTCTGATCAGAGATCTAGTGTCCAGTCAGCGTTTCTGATCAGAAACTATTTGGAGATTTGTTAAGAATGAACCAGAGCTATTCTACCTCTTATCTGTATATCCCATTAGGATTTCTATTAGAGGAAGGACCTGTCAGTTTTCCAATAAAAGCATGTAAATCAGTGCACAATGATGTAGTTACACTATAACTCAATTTTCTATCATTTCAATCCTTTCATGCTTTACCTATCCTATAAAACTGCTGTTGAAGGTCTTTATGGGTTAAGCTTCAAATGAAAATCTGTTTAAAATGGTGAAAAGTGAAATTGCAAATAAAATTATGCACCATTACCCCATTTTTCTTTACGGTAGGGTGCAAGGTGGTTCTTTCCCTTCTCTGCTTTAACTCAAGCCTTTCAAGAGCCTTTGCCTTTCTTGCTGAGGTGCTGAGAATGTTACTGCATTGTTGCTTTTCTCAAAAAGAGCACAAAAAGCACATTTTCTGAAGAAGGGTCCTGAACCGAAATGTCAACTTTCCTGCTCTTCTGATGCTGCCTGGCCTGCTGTGTTCCTCCAGCTCCACATTGTGTAATCACAAACAAGCAATGGATGTCTGGGTATGGCAGGCTATACCTTAGACAACTGGAACCCATTCCTAATACCCTGGCACAAGAATATACAGGCTGAGACCTACTGGTCCAAGGATCGGTGCTCGTAGAGGCTGTAGTTTGCTGGCAGAGTTACATTTTAAGCTGCAAATAAACTTGTAGTCATACTAACAATTGTCTACTCAATTTAATTGTATTAGGATAGCTTCAAACATCCATTCAGAACACAGCAAAACCAATCTGCAGTGTAAATAGTGTGAAATAGGTGACTGACACACTATTTATGTCAGGATCAGATTTCATCTAATTCCCATGGACACCAACAGCACTTTAAGACAGTTCTGCAATTTTAGAATGACAGGTTTCCTGAAAGTGCAAGACATTACTGATTGCAACCGCATGGCCTAAATATTCCATTACAGAATGTCACAACCTAAGTGAGTCACAAAAGATTCAACATTCTGTTTAGCCATCGGCAGAGCAAAATGCAAGTAAATGCATAATCTCTTAATAGCTGTCATGCGCCTTCAGTTTAAGGCATTCAATGGTCTCTGAAAATGTCACCTGAAAGAACCTGCTGGAGGATCAAAGCTATCTTCTATGGCTGGGGCTCATCATTATTCTTTGCTGTCCAAATGTATTAACCGAACATGAGCATTTCTGAAAGAAGTTGCATTTTGTCAAAACTTTTAATCTTTTCCTCATCTGGACATTCATAAGAATACAAATTCAGGAGCATCACCAACATTAATATTGCTTGAGGGTAGAATGCTGATTGGTTGGACAGTGGACTCTGATTATTAAAGGTGATAATGCATCATTATATTGATTGACAGTTAAGGGTGAGGCTTGGTTTAATATTTATTTATGCTGTTATCTTGCTTCAATAGATGACCGCACCATAAACAACATGTGTTTAAAACATAATAAATGTACAAAAGCAGAAAGTTTGGCAAAGCAATTCATGATGCCTCTAAAGAGGTAGTAAATCTCTTTGATCATGGATTGTCTGAAAATAAGGAGTCTCTCTTCAACTTTGGCATGCCTTCATATCATCACTGGGAAGATGTACTTGCTAAGCTTGAACTCCTCTACTGCTGCCACAAACCAGTGTCCTTCAATGACAATAATCCTTGAAAGTGTGCCGAGTTGATCTAGCACATGCATATTGCAGCATTCCAAATGACTTGTCTGATTTTTACATGCAATGTGAATGTCTGCTAGCATTATGAGACCTTCGTGCTAACTTGGATATATATATCATTGAAGCAACAGAGGGATTGGAATATCATCCTTAACAAGCATAACTATATTCAACAAATACAAGCCATTCTTAAAAACATGTCCAAATTCATATCCATTGAAGGTGCTGCGCAGCATGACCAGATAACCTTACTGAAATGCAACTGAAAAAGCATTTGCTGGACTTACATGAGTGGAATGCGCTGCCACGTGGCATATGTAATAGGATCCATCCACATGGCTCACTGCGTCCATGTCTATACAGAGTGCTCCAGACACAAAATAGTGATATCTTTTATGTTTTTTCTAATTTACGATCGGTTTTGTATAACGTGAACTGGCCAAATGGTTGGGTGAATTGCTACAACCTGTTTTAAGCAAGCAGTGACATTTACACACTTCACATTTATGAAGACTACAAAGGACTTGTATATTGATAGTCATGTAGTTTCTGTGTGCTCAGTTGACATTGCTAGTACCAATGTACCATTTCCAGAAGGTATGGACATTCTGTACTGCAGCACTACAGCATAGTAATCCAGACCCACCACGATGGCCTGAATCAGTATGCTTTGAACTTATGAACTGAGTAACTCACACAGCTGAGTTCAATTTCAAAAACACCAAGTATACCCCAATATAGATAACATTGCCACGGGATCTCTGCTACATTCATATCCCACAAATATTTTTGCTGGATTCCATGAGAAATGCATAACTAATGGAATGACATCTAATTTCCCACCTCTTGCATATTTCCAATATCTTGATGATACATTTGCTATATTTGAATCTGCAGTTGCATGTTGGAATTTCCTTTTTGGTCTTAACAGACTCCATCCTGCACTCAATTTTACATTTGAAGTAAAACAAACAGTCAAGTGAGCTCCCTTTCCTCAATGCTCTTGTTGAGGAATTGTCCAGGGTGATCTCTACTACTGTCGACTACAAACCTACCATGTTTTGAGGAAGGGTCATCAGACCTGAAATGTTAACACTGATTTTATCTTCACAGATACTGCCAGACCTGCTGAGCTTTTCCAGCAACTTCTGTTTTTGTACAAACCTACCTTCACTGGTCAATACAGACATTGAGACTCCTACAGTTCCACATGCTGTAAGATTGGCTTTACCATAAAACTCGTGAACAGGATCTGAACCATTTCTTCATTCTGCAAACTGGATGCTGAGGTAGAACATATCAAAGCCATCTTTGGCCACCTAATTGGATCCTTTGTGGTTATCACACAAACTTATGGGCAATCCCAGGGCAGCCACTCTTGGTCCTGAAAAGTGCTCAGTCTACCCCTGAATGGGTAACGTATCTTTATAATTTAAGCAACAGTGAAGGTAGCTGTTTCATGCTGCATGGTATTCACCAGTAATAGGATGCAGCTGTCAAACTGAAAATATGTTGGCTTGTCACACAAATTGACAATGTGGTGTACAAATTTCAGTGTCAGTGTGAAGCCAGGTATATAGGCTGTACATCCCATTAATGGACAGATCATATCAGCAGCATATTACTTGTATATTTGCAACAAGCAAAGTACTGACTAGGTCACACATGCAAAGTTTGCAACACAATGTCTGACATGAGATGTGATTTTGTAATTGGACAATATTTTCTGGATAACTTGGCGTGTAAAGTGCATTCTTTGCAAACTGAGAGAATATGTACCTGCAAAGCATCAATTTCAATTCAACAGGATAGGTGACAACTGCTCAAAGGTTTATTTCTCAGGGAGTGCCCTGACCAATTAGAGTTAACCTACCTACTTTAAATTTTAAATAAAGTCTGGCTGTTAACTGTCAATCACTAGTAATGGCTGCATGCTGCATGACAATACCTCTACCAGTGACAGAAGTATATAAAATAGGAGCAGGAAGCTTGCACCACTATTCAGTATGATCATGGCTGATCATCTAACTCAGTGCCCTGTTCCTGCTTTCTTCCATATTATTTGATCCCTTTAACCCTAAGAACTATAATTAACTCCTTCTTGAAAACATTTAGTGTTTTGGCCTTAAATGCTTTCTGCGGCAGAAAATTCCATGGGCTCAGTCCTAAAGGACCTGCTCCATATCCCAAAACTACGACCCCAAGTTCTGGACATCAAGGTTATCAAGCACATCCTTTTTGTATTTACCTTGTCTAGTTGTGTTAGAACTTCCTAAGTTTCTTTGTTCATTGTTCTAAACACCAGTGAACATAGTCCTAACTGATCTAATCTCTCTTCAGGCATCAGTCTTGCCATCTCAGGAATCAATCTGGCAAACCTTCTTTGCGTCACTCCATAGCCAAAACATACTTCTTCAGATAAGGAGACCAATACTGCACACAATACTGCTGGCTTGGTTTCACCAAGACCCTGTACAATTGCAGCCTTACAACTCTGCTCCTGTACTCGAATCCTCGTGCATATCATTTGTCTTCTTCACCATGTGCTGTACTTACACCCTTAGTTTTAGCAACTGATGTAAAAGGTCACACAAGATTCTGTGCACATTCTCCTTTCTAAATTTATTGCCATTCAGATAATATTCTGCCTTGTTTTTGCTACCAAAGTGGATAAGCTCACATTTATCCACTCACTCAACCTGTCTGAATTACACTGAAACATCTCTGCATCCTCCTCATAGTTCACCCTCCCACCTAGCTTTGTGTCATCTGCAAACTTTGAGATATCACACATATTTCAGAGT